CTCGCACTATTTGCCGGACTCTTACTCCGACCCTCTCTACCTCAAACCTAGCAGCCTGAGCGGCCGTGCATTTCCGTAACCGTCCGCTCCCGTTCGTGTATCCAGTTGCGTTTGCTGATTTTACGCGACCCCAAAGATCAGCACCTACGGTTGCGTTTCTCGATTTTACGCGTCCCCAAAAATCGACAGGATCCGTTAAGCTATCGCCTCTTCTGATAGGTTCCGTCAGAGCTCTCGTTCTTGGTGGAGTTGGGCCTGTTCCATCCCAACTCCCAGTTTATACCGGGTCGTCAGTTCCCGGTGAAAAAAGAATTGACTGGCGCCCGCCTGGCTTGCGGATGCACGAACGACGGGCGGACGGCCGAAGCGTGTAACGGACACGCGGAGGGAAGATCCCTCACCCTCGAATTAGACCAAGGCACGAAGGTCCGTCGACCAGCAGGGTTCACAGTTTGGTATCTTGTTTGAGATGAATTATTGAATTCGAATTTGGTACGTTCTCCGAATTGTTTCGTGTCGTCCGCCCGTCAGGCATATGTAACTTTTGATTTTGTAACGCGAAGAACGCGTACAGGTCCTTGACGGTCGGTTGTCGTATTTTGGTAAACGCGGATTAGCCGTGTTACGACTTTGGCTTTGAATTCGTATGGTACGCGACGTACCTGTTACTATTGTTTGATTGTATTTCGTTTTGTCTTTTCGATCTATATTAATTACTATTTTTTTTGTAATTCATCGACTCGGTATTGTCCGAAATCGTCGCGCTTCGCGCCGCCGATTTTCTTTAATAAACCGAACCATTTCTTGAGATCGAAGTGTCCGAATGATTTTGTGTGTCGCGTGATCGTCTGACCCATCCGACCTATTGTTCAGAATCCCGCCGCCTCCGCATAGCTGAGTTAGCCAACGAAGGCACGCGAAGACATACTGTAGAGACTGATACGTGGTTCCCGTTTTGGAACCTGGCGCCCAACAATACCTTAGGTATTTCGAGAGTAAAGATTTGTTAGCCCCTGGGTTGCCTGGAACGCATAGGAATCGCGTAAGTTGTGCGCCGCTCGGACTTGCAT